AGGCAATAAGGCAAGAAGTAGGACCCGTGTAAATATCGGATCAGCTTTCCAGCGCTGGACAGAACTCAAGGAGTGGGAAGGCCTGCGGTCGGACGCCGAGGTTGCTTTGTTTCTTCTTTTTAGCTGTCTACACTGGACGCAACAAAGCGACCGTTGAAAATCATTTGAAGTTTGTGTCAATACCTCATAAATAGAACGCAGCAGCAGTTTTCTGTCGGGGATTTGTCGTGCCGCGCCGCATCCATTGTAGACAGCATCACTGATTATAATGAGTTCTATAGTATTTTGTCGCGCCTCTCGCGTCCGGTGTAGACACAGTGTAACTTTGGTTTTGCTTTGTTTCACAGAATTAATCGTTGCCTGGGTTGCGTACGTATATGTGGGGCGGAGCTATCAAAATAGGGGCGAGACCTTTTTGGGGTGGGGCCGTGTTTGTTTTGGTGATTTGAAATGTCAACATTGGCTACCAGAAATCGCTTACCCCACCTTTAAACGTATTAAAATTAGATCATTGTCAACGTGTTGGTTGCAAGAGTCAATAATAGATATGCATAGACTATGAGTGTCATTTGAAGTAATTAGGTAATAAATTAGCAATTTATAACGTAAAAAATGTAAATAGATAAATGACTTATCACACTGGCAAAAAGAGTGAGCAAATGAGGTTAGAATATTCATTTTTGGGTGAATTATCCCTTTCAGGTCAGCCAGCAGTCAGAGGAAGTACCAGTGTGTCCTTGTTGCTGTAGTGCACCATCCAGCCTTCCTTGATGGCTGTGCTAGAGCGACGTGTGGTCTGCCTGATCGACTGCACTACTCTCATCAGAGGAATATTAGCACTGCGGAAACATCACAGCACACAAATCATAAATCATGAGATCATATAAGACAACCCAAGTGTGAGCAGACATAGAGGTACGCAGGCAACTGCGTGCTGAATAAAAGCTATTCATACAAAGAGAGACATACCAAAACAACATGAATTGCAAGTGAATCGTTTGCGAAAAGCTAATATCTTATTGGTCGTTTAGTTTTTTCACTGAGGGAAACTGAGCTACACTATGAGAATGCATAGTTGCAAATCGAATTTTCACACTTGATGTGAAGGGCTTGTACACCTTCTAATGTTGGTGTATACGATTTGTATAAGCCATAAAACCATCCCATGCTCATTGGAAATGCATAACTCTACCTACATTTCTGCAAAACCTGAAATACATTAGTCCAGGTATACATATTTCACTGCACTTTTCAGATGTCACATCCACAAGAGGCGTTTATCAATGATATCACTTTTTCTCCAGTGTAAATATCGGATCAGCTTTCCAGCGCTGGAGAGAACTCAAGGAGCGGAGGCCTGCGATCGGACGCCGAGGTTGCTTTGTTTCTTCTCGATAGGTGAGTAACACCGTGTCTGCGCCGCAACAGCTAAAGTCTGTCTAGTACACTGGACGCGACAAAGCGACCGTTGAAAATCATTTGAAGTTTGTGTCAATACCTCATAAATAGAACGCAGCAGCAGTTTTCTGTCGGGGATTTGTCGTGCCGCGCCGCATCCATTGTAGACAGCATCACTGATTATAATGAGTTCTATAGTATTTTGTCGCGCCTCTCGCGTCCGGTGTAGACACAGTGTAACTTTGGTTTTGCTTTGTTTCACAGAATTAATCGTTGCCTGGGTTGCGTACGTATGTGTGGGGCGGAGCTATCAAAATAGGGGCGAGACCTTTTTGGGGTGGGGCCGTGTTTGTTTTGGTGATTTGAAATGTCAACATTGGCTACCAGAAATCGCTTACCCCACCTTTAAACGTATTAAAATTAGATCATTGTCAACGTGTTGGTTGCAAGAGTCAATAATAGATATGCATAGACTATGAGTGTCATTTGAAGTAATTAGGTAATAAATTAGCAATTTATAACGTAAAAAATGTAAATAGATAAATGACTTATCACACTGGCAAAAAGAGTGAGCAAATGAGGTTAGAATATTCATTTTTGGGTGAATTATCCCTTTCAGGTCAGCCAGCAGTCAGAGGAAGTACCAGTGTGTCCTTGTTGCTGTAGTGCACCATCCAGCCTTCCTTGATGGCTGTGCTAGAGCGACGTGTGGTCTGCCTGATCGACTGCACTACTCTCATCAGAGGAATATTAGCACTGCGGAAACATCACAGCACACAAATCATAAATCATGAGATCATATAAGACAACCCAAGTGTGAGCAGACATAGAGGTACGCAGGCAACTGCGTGCTGAATAAAAGCTATTCATACAAAGAGAGACATACCAAAACAACATGAATTGCAAGTGAATCGTTTGCGAAAAGCTAATATCTTATTGGTCGTTTAGTTTTTTCACTGAGGGAAACTGAGCTACACTATGAGAATGCATAGTTGCAAATCGAATTTTCACACTTGATGTGAAGGGCTTGTACACCTTCTAATGTTGGTGTATACGATTTGTATAAGCCATAAAACCATCCCATGCTCATTGGAAATGCATAACTCTACCTACATTTCTGCAAAACCTGAAATACATTAGTCCAGGTATACATATTTCACTGCACTTTTCAGATGTCACATCCACAAGAGGCGTTTATCAATGATATCACTTTTTCTCCACTGCAGATGCGGGTTTATAAGCAGCACAGTGTCATAAAAATAACATGTTTGTGGGTACAATATAGTTGCAAAATGATAGTGCGCTTTCATGGTAGTTTCAAAGCAAATATGGTGTGTAATTTTCTCAGTTTTCTCTTTTCTCAGTTATTAGATGTTTATTGTACATATCACGGCATTTCAGAAATAGCATACCACCTACACTAAACAAAACAAAACGTGAGAAAATGTGAAATAAAAACACATTTGCTGAAGCAACCGTGCCATTTTAGCTTCCTTATGCAAAGCTTTGAGCTCTTTTGTGGAGTGTCAGAGCGCTCTGTATCGCAAATGCAACGCTCTACCGGGTGAGCTATCGAGCAAGTTTACTATGTCAGAAAAGCCATACATATGGAGCTGGTTATGTAATGCAAACAATACAATGTATTATATTATAAGTGACAAACTATGGTAAACGTGTTTTGAGGTCATAACAGTGATGTTCAAGGAACCATGTAAAAATAAGCCTTTATTCAATCTGCCCCGTAATCATAATTTGTGCGAAAAGGAACAAAAGTTGTTGCTGTTTTATTGTCGCTAGTGTTCATTTCAGCTGAAAACTCTAGTGAAATGTATACGTATATAGGTACATTTTTGCATAAATGTATGCAGTCTCGTATTTCCAATGGGCCTGAGTTGCATAAAACTATATTATTTGTCTTTCCAATTTTGTGTTTACTGTGACTAGGCCTTAATTTTGTCTGTATGTCTAAAACCTGTCTAACTACCTCTGGTCTCCACTGGCTCCATCCTGGTTGTTGTCTGGGGAGAAAGACCCAGGGATACTGCAGGCCTCGTCTGAGTCGTCCATCAGAGATGACTTATCAGTGTCAGAATACTCATTACTAAAGTCCATCGGCACCTCCATGTCTGTGCTTGGACTTAATATGTCTGAGACAGAGACAGATGGGAAAGAGGTAAAAAAATTAACACGCAAACACAGCATGAAGTGACAAACAATAATTACATGCTTGCAGAAGCAGAAGAAACAGAGCAAATATTTCAAATGCGTTAATAATGTCCATCATGTCAACACGGTTTCTCTCACACTCATTACCAAGAGTCTCCCCTAAGCAGTCATTTGGGACCTTGTATGCACATCGCTTGTGGCAGTTGAACTTGCAGTCTTTAAAAAGAAGAGAGAGAAAAAAAGAGTCATAAAATCAAATATTAATAATTATATCAAATATAAATATTAGCAATATAGGTTTTGATTAAATTAATATACAATACACATCTTTTAAATTAACCCCTTAGCATTCCTGTAAAATTTGCCTAAAACGCCTAAAAAGGCATACCCAAAGTAATTGCATGCTGTTCTTGAACCATCTGGAGTATATGCATGGTTTTGGTCTCTTTTGAAAGGTGACACTCTGAGGTTTGTTCCTAGACAGAAACTGTAAGTCTTACTGGTATTGAGTGATAGAACGTTGAACACACTGAAAAAGGAAAAAAAAAAAAAAAAACATTCCGCCTACGTTTTTTTTTTTTTTTTTAACAGATCCCTGCAGATGACTATAGCTGGGAGCTATTAGCTGGAAAACACAATGGGATCACAGCATGAAGCCTGATTGTACCTGTTGTGCTGATTGAATCTTAATTAATGGTTTCTTAATGGTTTGCATCATTCGAATCAAACGAATCTGTGCTTTCCAAAGATATGTGACGTTTATTTTTTTTTTTTTTTATTGAGTTGTTGTATGTCACAAAGTTAACCCTCAAAAACACGCAGTGTACCACGGTCGTTATGGAATGCCAAAGCTGACTTAATTAGAAATAAATAAATAAATGCACAAAGAAATGTAAAAAAGCAAATATAAATAAATAAATATACATAGAAAAGTAAAAAAGCAAAAATAAATAATTATTTATAATTTTATTTCCTTATTTATGTATTTTTTTCCCCACATTTATGTATTTAACATTCCGCCTACGTTTTTTTTTTTTTTTTTAACAGATCCCTGCAGATGACTATAGCTGGGAGCTATTAGCTGGAAAACACAATGGGATCACAGCATGAAGCCTGATTGTACCTGTTGTGCTGATTGAATCTTAATTAATGGTTTCTTAATGGTTTGCATCATTCGAATCAAACGAATCTGTGCTTTCCAAAGATATGTGACGTTTATTTTTTTTTTTTTTTATTGAGTTGTTGTATGTCACAAAGTTAACCCTCAAAAACACGCAGTGTACCACGGTCGTTATGGAATGCCAAAGCTGACTTAATTAGAAATAAATAAATAAATGCACAAAGAAATGTAAAAAAGCAAATATAAATAAATAAATATACATAGAAAAGTAAAAAAGCAAAAATAAATAATTATTTATAATTTTATTTCCTTATTTATGTATTTTTTTCCCCACATTTATGTATTTATTTATTTATTTACACATTTATTTATTTATTTATTTTCACATTTATGTATTTATTTACGTATTTCTTTATTTCTTTATTTACACATTTATTTATTTTTACATTTGTTTATTTTCACATGTATTTATTTCTACATTTCTTTGTCCGTAGGGTAATAAGAAGGGGGGTGTTTTACCTCAGGAATAGCAATCGAGCCAGAGTAGGCGAGGGGTAAGCTTTGAGGCCACAGTGACACCTTGTGGTGCCCAAGCAAAGTACAAGAAGTGTAAGCCTACATGACGTGCCTGTTGATAGTGTGGGATGTATGATTTAGATGGGCAATATGGCCAAAATCTTATATCACAGGACTATTTAGGTTATTATTTCAATTTCAAGTGGGGGTTTGTTTCGACTGGAAAGCGTGCAATCTGTGATCGAGTCCATTTGCTGAAGCTCGCGAAAGCCTGCGATCGCTTTCTTATGCATGCTGTTTTTTTAGGTTTCACTTTCAACGCATACAACGCATGTTTCAAAGATTCGGGATAGAAGGAGGCTATAATGCATGTGTGTGTTTCACTATAGCTCCATTCCCATGGACACCTTTTGTTTGATCTAATTCTGGATATTTCCAGCCCAAGACGTGTGATTAATCAGCCAATTAATCCGTATCTAAAGTCGTGTCTACACCAAGAGAACCCATTATGGGAAGTGGCGCGAGGCGACAAATCTTCTACAGTAACTGATGCCTCCTTCTATCCCGAATCTTTGAAACATGGTTTGTATGCGTTGAAAGTGAAACCTAAAAAAACGCGCGCATAAGAAAGCACGCTTTCGGGAGCTTCAGCAAATTCACGCGATCACAGATTGCACGCTTCCCAGCCTAAACAACCCACCACTTGAAATTAAAATAAGATTTTCGCCATATTGCCCATCTAAATCATTCATCCCATGCTATTAACAGGCCATGTAGGCTACACTTCTTGTACTTCGTTTGGGCACCACAAGGTGTCACTGTGGCCTCAAAGCTTACCCCTCGCCTACTCTGGCTCGATTGCTATTCCTGAGGTAAAACACGCCCTTCTCATTACCCTACGGACAAAGAAATGTAGAAATAAATAAATGCGAAAATATATAAATGTAAAAAGAAATAAATGTAGAAATAAATAAATGTGGAAATAAAGAAAGAAAGAAAGAAATACGTAAATAAATACATAAATGTGAAAATAAATAAAAGTGGAAATAAATAAATGTATAAATAAATAAAAGAAAAAATGTGGAAAAAAAATATAAAACATACATAAATAAGGAAATAAAATTATAAATAATTATTTATAATTTTATTTCCTTATTTATGTATGTTTTATATTTTTTTTCCACATTTTTTCTTTTATTTATTTATACATTTATTTATTTATTTCTAATTATGGCAGGATTGGCATCCCATAGGTCGCAACAGTGGAAAGCTAACAAGTTAAATTAATATGTAGAATACTTATAAATAAGTTAGCTAATGTCTATACAAAAAGTTACTTGTGCTGTGGATTTAAAATAATTTCAAATTAATATTGCATTATTAATGTTTGTCCTGTTGCTAGAATGAGTTTCTGTATTACAAACTACACTACTGTTCAAAATCGTGCGGTCGGTAAGATTTTGTTTTAATGTTTTTGAAAGTCTCTTTTGTATTTTATGCTCTTAAAAGTCTCTTATGCTCATCAAAGCTGCATTTATTTGATCAAAATAGAGTAAAAACAGTAATATTGTGAAATATTATTATGATTTAAAATCTGTTTTATGTTTATATGTTTTAAAAAGTGTCATTAATATAAGAATGTAATGACATATATTATAGTAATATATGTCATTACATTCTTCTATATGTCATTATACAGGTAAATGAGGAATTCACTAATACAACATGAACAAATCCCTTTCCTAGTTGTTTTTAGTACCAATTTGTAAATCAGGATGGATTATTGAGCAGGATTGCCCGACCTTTGCACTGGAGTCCCTGGCGGAAGAGTCCTCTCAGCAGTCTCTTGCAGTACTGACACACGGTGGGACGCGTGTACGAGTGAACGGCGAATGTGTGCGGGACCTTCACTTTAGTCATGAGGATCTTGTCCAGGTGGACGGGCCGCCCGGTGTAAAAGCGCCTGGCCTCACTGGGGGTGCGGGGCTGGAGAAAGATCCGACATGATGTTTACATGGCATGACATTATTGAATTAAACATAAATATTCCATTATGTAAAAGTTAATTGAAAAATCTATGTATATTATTACAAAAGGTAGTTAATTAAAATTTGATGGTAATGCTTTATAATGAGTTTCATTAGTTAACATTAATGAATGCATTATCTAATATTAACGAAATATGAGCAAAACATTTGTTACAGTATTTAGTAATCGTTGTTAATGGTAATAAATAAAAATACAACCTTTCAATGTTAGCTCAGTTCCATTAATTAAACTTAAAGCATTTGATTGTAATAATGTATTAGTAAATGTAGCAATTAATATGAACTGATATGAATAAATGCTTTACAAGTATTTTTCATTGTTAGTTCATATATATATATATATATATATATATATATATATATAAT